CCATTGCCAAATTGCCAGATCTTACCGCTACGAACAATGGCGTTGAGCCATCCTTGTCTGCTAGGTTGACCTTCGCTTTACCCGTTTCGAGTAGAAGTCGGACCACTGCTCTGTGTTCATTCCGTACTGCCCACCATAGTGGCGTCCGCCCATCTACACATTGAGGACTGATATCGATGCCTGTGTGATTGAGTAACATCTTGACAATATTCTCTTTTCCATTACTTGCAGCGTGAGTCAGAGCTGTGTAATTACTGTAGTCTTCTTTATTCACTTCGATGTCTCCTCTTGTCAAAAGCAGCCACACATCGTCCTCGGTCCCTATTTTGACTGCCTCAATCAATGACTTAGGACTTTCAGCCATTTTTTCTTCTCTTGGTAGTTGTACAGAAGCGACTGTAACGGATATAGTACGCACAGGCTCCCCATAGAGCTGGCCTTTCCGTCTCGATTCCACGCGCGATTTTTGGATGCACAATCTTCTGACCGGATACCGTGATGACACGAAATCCCCAAAATCTGTCTGCGCAAATTCCTCGGTCTTGGCTCTCCTCAAGTGCCTCATTGTCAGGCTCGTATCCCTCAGGTAGATCGAAATCCGCTCATCTCCACTTCCTTGTTCATGGCAATCGAGTTTTGCACAGCCAAGCTTGTCGTGACCAATACCCATAAATCGGACGTTGAGGTGAACTCCCTTTCCGCTCAAAATGACTGGATCATAGGAGCTATCTAAGGCAAGGCATTGTACAATGTTTCCGGATTTGCGAAACGAGGCTGGAGAAGTAGCTAGGCAACCACCACGATCATCGGTTGATCGCCACGCAAAAATACTATGATCGTCCGATATCTTCAGGATTTCCTCCTGGAGTCTGATGAAAGCATTTTCTCCCTCTCCATATATTAAAGGCATGTTGATGTTGAATATGCCTAACAGACAATATGCTATGTCTTCTATCCTTGTCGTTTTTCTTTCTGCAGCCCATGACATTCTTTGTGCAACGCTGAAAGTTTCGACAGGTTCTGCTTGTGAGAGCACACTGACAGAAATCCGGGTGCATTCGGATATCTCTTCTCCTAGGCCTGCTCTAGTCCCCAGAAGAGACCAGCTCTTGTCGAAGAATATCACTTCCTCTGGTGCCAACAATTCCTGGAGCGTCCACCCTCTAGTAAACCATTTGCTTGTTGAAAAACTATCCTCGGGGCCTATATCAGCTAGATACGCATAACATACGCCCGCTGACTGATACCAGGAGTACATTGAGTTTATTGCTTCCGAAAGTTCTGCGCTGCTTGTCTTGTCGATACAGCACGTGTCGACCCAAAAGTATTGAAAGCCTTCCTGAGCGGCTTGTCGTCCGCATAGGATAAGTTTACGGTAGCCGACCTTCTCTTTACCTTTTCCGTCCAGAAGATCTTGGTAAGTTACTTCTTCATTGGAGGGGCCCCAGGTATGCGAAAGAATGGCGTAAGGTGGGAGATCATCAGGCAACCGCTCAACAAGGCTGAGCTCGTCACAGCCACGAATCTGCAGGAGTCGCATGAAGATATGTTCAGGCGGCGATCTAAACAAAAGAGAAATGATATGAGGGCAGTAATTCCAGGATAAGTCGGTGAAAAAGACTTGGCGATTGGAATGCGGAGTGTGGATGGCGAACGTTGATGCAGGTAGTAGCCGAAGGCTGGCTGCCAAGACCTTCGCTACGTAAATCACGGGGCAGCATATTCAGCCTCATCAGCCTGACCAGAAGTAAAAGGTTCCGCAAGTGCTATAAGACCAGATACTATTCTACGAGGTGCTAGGCTGAAATCTAATGTAATCTTCCGACTTTGTGTTCCAGCTGCAGTCTTGAAGAACAAGGGAAGGCTGATATCACCATGTTTTACAGGAGTACGGAATGGCAACTTACCTCCACGACGATATATCATATATCAATCAAGTCGTTTATTTTATACGTTCAAGGAAGAATATTGGCTATCAACACATCCGTAAATAGTGTTTGCTGTTCGGCGTTTTGTATACTACCTACCTGACATCATTGCCGGTATATTCGGCCGCTTACTATGCGCCAGGCTTACTGGCCAAAATCATGTCTTACATGGTCTGAAATTCATAGCAAAACGTCAGACAAACGCATTGCTAAGAGCAGATAGGACCTTTAACGTTGCATCAGTGATACCTGTCGCAAGCGAATGACTATTCTTGTCCCGAAACATCGTCAGTACAAAAAGTAGGCAGGTAGATATCGCTGATAGATTAGAGCTCACAAAACTTCTTACAAAGAACTCCAATGGCATTGTTTCAAACGTTGCATTTGGCTTCTTGTGTGGACCAGTTTCCTTTTTGTTAAACGGGCTGAATCTTAGAACAATCCTCCAAGCTCCCGCGTATCTGCAAAATCCCCCCGATGGCCAATCGTTCCCGAATACCGTGGGGCTGCAAGCCCTCGAAAAGGAAGTTGTTGATATTCGCACCAACTGGCCTCTTCTGCAAGCCCCAGTGTGTCTCGCCCAGAGTATTAGGAGCCTTTCCAGATATGTTGTTTGCCAACAAGGGCGTCACTATTTTCAACTCATGATTTCCGGTTGAATAAGCAACTTGCATCTGGTTGTTGTCAAAGTCGAGGTACAGCCCAAAGTTGTGCCAGATGTCTGGATCGAAGGGCGCCATGAAATATGTTTGGACTTTCTTGGCCCATTTCCAGCCCTGAAGATAGATGACGCTGCCGGTCTTCAACATCGACTTGGTGACATCGGGGTGTATGAATCCAATGTTCTCACCATATGCTGCCAGCTCATCACCTCCACCTGTGTAGTTCGGCCCGCGAAGAGTTTCCTGCATCGGTAGTCCGACTTTAAGAGACCAGAAATCTGCCTGGAAGTCCTGGGCTTCATGGAAAGCGAGAAGATACTCGTGTGAGAGATTAAGAGCATATGGTGAAGTTCGCATAGAGAAAAGCCATGTGACTTTGCCAGAAACAGTCTGGTTTTTTCCATTCACGAGTATCTCAGCTCGGCGGAGTGCGGTCTCGCGGCCTTCGGAGGACGATGCGAAGACGGACCGGTCACTATATATACATTATCAAGCGGTAATTACGATAGTAACAGATGAGGTGATTTACGTTATCTCTACCTCGATAGGTTTTGTTCCAGCTACTTGATCAAATATCGATGGCTCCACGTCGGGAAATGATATCACTTCCCTCCATGTCTGGTCTGAGAGAGTTGAACATGTTAGTGGGCACAGATTATAGTAGCTCAGATATCTTACTCTGCCCTAGAACATATTTAGGATTGAAAGGACTCTTCGCAGTTTCGAATGTGTCTCCGGTGAAATTCTGGGGAATTCGACCGTCAAAAGTCAAGGGGCAACTTAGGGCATCAAGTGAGAGGGACAGGGCAGAAGGAAGCCCAGTCAGAAGTCCTGCGAAACAGGACTGGATAAGCTTCATCTTGGAGACATATACTCGCGATCAAATGTGAACCACCATAAAATACAATGGGAATCTTGAAGTGCGATAGCATTCGTATGCTTCCATGTCGTTATATACGCATGAGCGTCGGACTTAACATAGTTTTGTTGAGCTTGCATCCTTGAAATGACGGGAATGATGCGAGGATTCCAATTTCCATTTCGGACCGACGGCTCGCTCGCCAGATTGGCCGTGATTTGCCGATGTTTCATGAAGCAATGCATGCATAAAGAGTTCCCGTACTGACTGATGTTGCGGCTGGTAAAGACACTTGATCGTGCACGATGTGGAGGGACTAGTTACCTGGTTGAGGAAGATTTACAACAGGTCCTGCTCATACAGAGTTAGATGGAGAGGATTCTATATTATATTAAAGAAATAATTCGACTTAGTCGTAGTAATAAGTATAAGGAGGGGTGGCGGGACAGATCAGCATAAGCTTCGCTAGTATTTCGGTAGGAATACAGTGTATCCCTGTTAGCAATAACTTTTGGGAGCCACCTCTGTACTATTCTAATACATTTACTAATACGTATAGGTTGGAAATGCCCCACACGCTGCACTGTGTTTGCCAGTGTCGTCGACAGACTCATTAAATATGCACTTCCTCGCCCCGCATTTCGGCAGCGCTACTAGCAAGAGAATCAAGCCGTCCATCATCGTCACGACAATGATTAGATCCAACAGTGTGTTCTATTGGAAGAAGAACACCATTTCTACCTGGCGATCAGAAGTGCCACCTACGCGATGCACCATACCTCCATCAGCCCTATTTTTATTGTTGTTCTTCCCTTCATGTTACGACCGAAAGTCTAGAAGATGCAAAACTCCTTATACTCCAATCACAGCCTATGGGCAAGGCAAAGCTGAGCCCATAATGTCGAGACGGCCATGCTCAATTGATGTTTGGGAAGTTAAATTAATCGTTCCAAATACAAATTCCATGAGCCCTCCCGACGTTTAGGGGACGACACTGAAGGGACGATTGCGCAAAGATGATTGAAACAAAGACACTTTGAGTTCATAGAGGTGGCTAGTTAGAGCGGCTATCATATCACTGACAGACGAACTCTATCGGGCCTAACAGGCCTACTACGTATTGCGCCTTGTTACGTCCGCGGAGAAGAACGCTAGCGCGATTACCATGGGTAACATGCAACACAGTGCTTAGCTCCGATAGATACAAGTCGACTAGTCTCGGTGAACCCTACAGAACACTTCTTTCAATTATACTAAGACTGTGCACAACAATGGTCGATATTTCGTAGGAACTCCTAGCTGTGAGCTTTGGTTGCAAGGGAAGAAAAATGGGTCTTTTAGGTTCAGAACTTGCGATATAACACTTTCAGTTAGTGCAGCTGAAATACTCAGTGCTGCCGACTGTCGATACTACTGTTCCTTTACCCGCTGAATGTGGGTGATAGACTAGCGTCAACCAGGGTTAGCTCCTTCCCAGATAAGTCCCACTCTAACCTAGTCACCTCCAGACCTATATTCTATGTCACACAAACATGAATTGATCTCATCAGCATGAAAACCAAAAGCACGACTGGCCTGATCAATAGGCGCGCTAAAAAAGCCGTCGCGCCTCAGTCCGTTGTGAAAGACGAAAACAATAGCGACATTGTCGCGCAGAATGAGGAAGATGATTCGAGCACTTACAAGCCGCGACCACAACTGCCGCACCCGAACGTTCACATGCGAAATATGGCGAGTCTGATAAGTAAGAGAAGAGCTTAGAGAGGCTTTACTAGGGGGTGCTGATAAAGACTAGAGGAGCTCGAAGATGGCACCATCGATGTTGACCCGGAATATCAGCGGGAGGTTGTTTGGACAGGTAAGGATAACACGAGTCGACTGCTATTGCGATTCTACTAACTCTATTCAGCGGATCGCATGACTGGCTTGATAAACTCGTTGATGGGTAATTCACACCTCTCCTATGTCCCTTCCATCTAGTCTGGCTAACCCTGCAGAAAACTACTACATCCCTCCGATCATTCTGAACAAAAAGACGGATCGTATCTCAAGCACTGGACAAACACGTGCCACCTTTGTGTGTTTCGGTGGGAAGTAGCGTCTGTCTTCTGTGAGAGCTTTTGCGAAAGGAATGATTCCTTGCCATGACCACCAGGGAGAGAAATGGTGAGTTTCTTTGAGATCTGTCACCACTTAGGCATGCTCACCAACATTGCAAGGTGGTTTTGCGAGGCTCCAGGCACTAAGCGCAAACGCTTACTCCCGCTAAAGGCCCAGAGATTCTTTCTAGAGAAAGACTTTGTTACCTTCCAGTTCGCAGAGTTGACCCAGGAGCAAGAGGAGGACTTGTTTGCCAGAGTTCAGATGGGTGCCCAGCTTAGTGCAGCCGAGAAGATACGAGCAAAATCGGGACCATGGCAGGAACTAGCAAAGCTCTTCGTACAAGATTTCCCCGTCATCTACGAGTTGACGAAAGACCGAAGTCGCGCAAAGGATTTCCAAATCACCATGGCCTGTTTTCGTCAGATTATTGAAGTCAGGAGTTCACGTGCAACAAATGGAAGCGGAATTCCAGTCTTCGAGGCAGCCTACAACGCAGTCCCTAAACTGCTAGATAATTCGTCATCAGTCACTGATGCTACAAAATCTCATCTTGCAGCCGTCTGGAAAACCTTTAGCGAGCTTGTAGAGCTGGATCCCGATATCTTCACTAACGCGAATAAATATCTGCGCGGTGTTCAAACTTTTGCACCTATAGAGATGGTTGGTGTTGCTGTCCTGATTTCTATGTACTTAGAAGTGGGTCACGAAGTTCTTTTAAGAGATATCAGGATACTCCGCGAAACGCTTCGCGAGTCCTTCTCAGATCTTCGCCTTAATCGCCAGGTCTGGAAATCCATATGGGAGATCATTGACGGCTTGCAAGCGATTCGCGGTGGTGTGGAAGACGACATTACAGAAAAACCGCCCCCGTCTACAGTGTTGGGCTCGGCATCAAATATTCAGTCTTCCATCTCAGCAAAAGTATTACTAGACGGTTTCAAGAAGAGGGCTGCGCCTGAGACCCTCTCGAACGCTACATCGTCACCACAAAAGTCGGCTATTGAAGCCGAATCTTCAAACATGCCGCCAATGAAACGACGTCGCAAGGGCTCGAAGCCAGCAGATGCGATCGTTTCGAACAATCTTCCAAGTAACAATGTCATGCCGCAAACAATGGGGAGTTTTCCACCTTACCCATCCCAAATGGCTCCAGCGCGTTCCGAAGATCACGGTGCTTTTACACCTAGTCATACAAAGAAAGAGATAAAGGGCGTCATTGTACCTGTGTCTCCACAGTTGCCTGTTATAGCTGGCCTTGATGCACCAGCGTTATCACGACAAGTAGCTCCTTCATCACTGGACTCATCTGCTCCCCGGGTACGTGCAAAACCCAACACCAAAAGACGCATGCCTGTTTCTCGCCCGACGAAAGAACAAATGAGTGAAACGATTGACCTCACTGGTGATACCCAATAAAGAGACACTATTCATACTCATGATACCAGGATCAGATACCAAAGGCGGACTGGAGGCGGGGAATGACATTCTTCTGAGCTTGGCTCGAGGTGGGGGCTATTTGGGGGGCTGAGATGATGTATTATTGAGGTATGGCAATTTATGATATGATCTGTATCAATACTCTGGAACCAAACAAAAATGCTATATGACTTAAAGACTGAACAGTACCTCGTATCTTCGAAGCAACAATAATCCCTTTTTCAATACGTAATCAATGTGCTGAAGCATTGCCCAGAACGCCCACATGCATATCAGCAGCGTGGTAAGCACTGATTGGGGCAGTCGATTCTTTCACAACTTCCGAGTAAACTGCATCGACTTCCGTCAGTATGGCCTTGTACGGCTGTGCATTGGAACCAGAACACGATTGTAGGCGCGTTGCGCTACTATCGAGGCCTTTCGTACCGAAACAGGGTCCTGGATACGACGTCATGGCGCACTCTCAACCTCGGCATGTCGCCAACCCATTGGAGATGAGACGTACTCCTACCATGGGCCTACGACGAGTAGGCTGGGCCAGGGAATACCGCAAAAACTCTAAATTCTAAGGAAACGCCCATTGTAGCGGCGACAGTCGGCGTCTCGGATACACCGGATCCAACAGATCAACACTTTCGCGCTCTTACTGCAGGAAACACATCTACACCACTCCAAGGCCATACGGACACAGCTTCTTCACGCGATACCCATATACCCGTTACGAAGTATCACCATGGGTTTTAATCCCGCGACCGACATTGGGAACCTGGAGGGCAAAGTCATCTTAGTGACTGGTGGTACGTACGCATATACGTTTCCTTCGCAGCCGCTCCCAGCGACACCAATATCTCAACCTCAACCTTCCTAACGCGTCCACACAGGCAATGCTGGCCTAGGCAAGCAAACAATCGCATATCTCGCCGCCCACAACCCCGCATGCATTTACCTCGCCGCCCGCAGCGAGTCCAAAGCCCGCGATGCCATTGCCTCGATCAAATCCTCAGTGCCCAACGCCTGCAACATTGAGTACCTCTCCCTCGACCTAACATCCTTCGCGTCCATCGCCGAAGCAGCCTCTACATTCAAGGCCCGCGAGTCGCGCCTCGACATCCTGATCAACAATGCGGGTATCATGGCGACGCCGTACGGCACGACGAAAGAGGGCTACGAGATCCAGTTTGGCACAAACCACATGGGCCACGCGCTGCTCACCAAGCTGCTGCTGCCCACCATGCTCGAGACGGCCAAGCTTCCAGCCGCCGATGTGCGCATCATCAGTCTGAGCAGCTACGGACACGTCATGCCTGTTTCCCAGGGCATTCTCTTCGACCAGGCTGCGCTGGAGCAGCAGAGCACTGTGCGCCGATATGGCTCGTCGAAGCTTGCGAACCTGGTCTATGCTAAGGCTCTCGCTGAACACTATCCCCAGATCACGTCTGTGTCGCTGCACCCAGGTGTGATCATGACGGATCTGTTCAACACGCTGCGCACCAATATCTTTTTGAAGGTTGGGCTGTGGGTCTATGCGATCATAGGGTTGGTCTTACCGGGTCACTTTAGAGGACCAGAGGGCGGGGCGCTGAATACCACATGGTGTGCGACAGTGCCCAAGGAACAGCTCGAGAATGGGGCGTATTATATACCGGTTGGTAAGAAGGACGGTGGTAGTAAGTATGCGAGGGATGAGGGGTTGAGGAAGAAGCTGTGGGAGTATACAGACGAGGAGTTGGCGAAGCATGGGTATTGAGAGAGTAAGATGTACAAGTATGTACTCATCGTAATGGGTTGTGGTAGTCGGCCTGGATCATCGTTGAAGGGACTTGAACGAATGCAATTTTGTTCTTATGTCAATGTCTTCTCAAGCTGCTCGCGAACTCCACCAGAGATGCATTACCAGTCGTGTATTGGTACCTCCTTCTATGTGCTGGAGACCTGCCTCTATATACAAGTAACAGTGAAGCGCTGCAAGAATGCTGTCCGCGCCAAACGCCCGCCCATGTGGTATCGTGAACCTGTCTATAGCTCAACCTCAGCTCTCTTGTAAGCTTCTTTTTCTTCACATCTTCCCTCTAATCTACCCTCTTGAGCTGGCGGTAGACCTTTTTATGTTGTTCCAAGAATAGAAACGTGAGTACAGTATGCGGTCCGACGCGAATGAAACTTGGTACCCAGCCCTTGAACATCCAGCGGAATCCCTCAGCCCTCATCGTATCTGAGACTGTTTTGACAAGGCCTGCATTCTCGCTTGAACTCATGACTTTGGTCTTGATAACATCTACTGGCGAACAGATCGTGGTAGCGACAAAACCTGCCAGAAAAGACGCGGTGAAATGCGTGGTGAGATTGTCCTGAAGAGGTGTGTAGTTCAACAGGACACGCTTGAATCCATCGTAGGTCGCCAGTTGGCCAACAGTCATGAGCACGGCTCTTGAGGAATTGGGCCAAACGCCTTTCCACAGGCTAGCTACGCCTTCTTCTCGCGACATGCGTATGATACCGTCAATAGCATTTTTGTAGCCTCGCCTCTTCTCCTTTGGCAGCGCAGCATCATGTTGCATACGCACGTTCAGGATGTCTCCTGGATTTCCAGCAAAGCCACCAAGAAAGCCTGATACTGAGGCCATACCAACGAGTGTAAGGAACGAAGGTCTGTTATCGGTCGTTGTCATGCGGGCTTTTAGCGATTCGTACACACCGAAGCGTGTCATGCTATATGTGCCTTGACGAAGCTGCGCCGCAGATATCTATAGTCTATTAGAACTTGTCGTCAAGGTTGAGCGGGGAAGGCATACGCCCTTGTAAAGACCCAGTACACCATCAGTTTTCATAACATGAGAAAACATTTGCACCATGTTTAACCGTACGCCATGAGTCGCCTGTGTTTGTAGGCGGACCTAAAAATTGTGAGTAAACAAGAACAGGCGCATGCGACCCTGTGTGACATACCTTTACTATTCCCATTGTTAGCCAGAAACCCCACATATCATACGAAAGAAGATCGCAAAGACTTACCAAGATCCAGCGGGTGGGTGAAGAAAGTCGCAAAACAGCTTGCGCTGCCGCCGAACCAGAAGGGATAATGAATCGGCGTTTTCTTGACAGGCTTTACATCTTCACTTTTGCGCAGTTCGGGCAAAGTCACCCTCTTCGCGGCTTGAGCCATGTTGAATGCGAGACACTGCGCAGCAGCGGCATGTGAATCTGGCCAGGGGTGGGTGAAGTAGAGCGGACAAAGCCGTACAGCAGCCTTATAACAAAGATTTGCTCGTGAAAGTTCGGTGGTTGTTAAGGGACCGAGAAATCAGCATGCGGACGTCATCCCTGCATTCGGATTTAAGCCCGGAGCTGGCTTGGCTTGGCGTCGCGTACGGTTTTGCAGGCTGCACGACTAACCAAGACAATCGCTATACTGCAAAAATGCGAATACCTTTATGCTCGGCTGCGACATGCCGCCAGATATACTCAGGGGTGCCGTTGCGGATATGGAGACCTCAGTTGGCCTCTCGACTTACGCTGCGCAACGTGAGATACAACTCTTCAGGTATGTTCCTATCATGTGAAGAACTATTTTTAGTATGGACTATTGTACTATACGTATGCATGCAATACATTAGCGATGTGGAACAAAGAAATACCTTTCTAAGACTCTCCAGGAGAGTTACCTAAAGAAGTCAAGATAGAAGGGAAAACATACAAGACTGATGAGTGGATGAACACACCTTCGTCAATTCTCGATGCGATACCCAGGCGTCTACATCTTCAACCAGACCATCCTCTCACCATCACACGGAAGTTGATTGAATCTCGGTTTCCTGGATACAAGACACACAACAACCTCTTTCCGATTGTTACCACTGGGCAAAATTTCGACTCGCTTGGTTTTCCACTGGATCACATTGGGCGAAGCAGAACAGACACGTACTATCTAAACAAAGAAACCGTATTACGAACACACACTTCTGCTCACCAAGCCGACACATTCCGCAACAATGAAAGCGAAGGGTACCTCATCAGCGCAGATGTTTACAGGAGAGATGCCATTGATCGAAGTCACTATCCTGTTTTCCATCAGATGGAGGGAGCGCGGACATGGGATCGACAGCAAGCTGAGAAAGAAGGCAAGAATCTTGCCGATATAATCTGGGAAGACGTAGAAAAGATACCCAAGCACGACATTGCTGTTGAAGATCCAAATCCGACTTACCATGCGGAACGCAACCCACTACAGGCAGGCCATTCACCAGAAGAAGTCGAAGCCATTGCCGCACACCTCAAACGCAGTCTCGAAGACATGGTGGTGACTATCTTCAACGCCGCAAAATCCGCTTCAGATGCGGAGACTTTCGGTGAGCCGCTCAAGGTGCGCTGGGTCGAGGCCTACTTTCCCTTTACCTCGCCATCATGGGAACTAGAAGTCTTCTGGCAGGGCGACTGGCTCGAGGTACTAGGTTGCGGTATTGTCTCTCAACCTATTCTAAACAACGCCTCTGTGTCCAACCGCATAGGATGGGCGTTCGGACTGGGTCTCGAACGTATCGCCATGCTCCTCTACTCTATTCCCGACATTCGCCTATTCTGGTCAAAGGACGAGCGCTTCCTGTCGCAGTTCAGCGAGCAGAAATGCATCACACCATTCGTCCCCTTTAGCAAGTACCCGGAATGTTTCAAAGATGTTAGTTTCTGGTTGAGAAGCAGTTCAAGCGCTGCTGGCGGTGCTGCAGCTACGCACCCGCCTACATCAGCAGCATCACCAAGTCAGGTCGTGTCACCCGAATCGCCCTCTGGCGCTTCGGCCCCTGGCACACCGACTGCGCCCGCGGCCCCTGTCCCAACATCAACCCCTTCGTTCCACGAAAACGATGTCATGGAAATTGCACGCGAAGTCTGCGGCGATCTCGTCGAAGACGTCCGTCTGGTAGATGAGTTTGTGCACCCCAAGACGGGGCGCAGGAGCATGTGCTACCGTATCAACTACCGCAGCTTGGAGCGCACACTCACCAATAAGGAAACAAACGAGATGCACGAGCGACTGAGGGCTTTGATTGTCGCGCGCTTAGGCGTCGAGCTTAGGTAGGGGCAGCAGAAAAGACGGCCTTGGAAACACTCAACGGCGAATTCGTGTTTGACTAGGTGTAACATGTCTTGTAATTCAACATAGTCCACTCTTCTTGCTTCCTTTTCCCAAAGAAAACGGGTCACAAATGCTTCTATAGAACAAAGTCCCTCAGTCTAAATCTTTTTATAACTCCAAAAGTAATAGCAAAGGAAAAAAACATGGTTGTGGACCAAACCGTTGAGAATGTGGCTGCCATGTGGCAAGTGGGCATGACACTTGTTCCTGACTATCTTTCTCCAAAAGAAAACGACGGTACACAGAAAAATCAAAGTGATCGTAGCGGTGCTGATCTGTGACACCAACGAAGGGAAAAGCAAATGAGTCCAGCCTTCCCCTCGGAACAACGGAGATGCCCCCTCCCCCTCCCCCGGAAACAACGCAAAAGGAAAAGGAAAGAGAGATAAGAAAGTTTGAGCTAGCCCTTGGCGAGGCTTGCATCATACACAATTTACACCCTACTGGCAAATCCCCTACTCGGCAGTCGAGAAAATGCGGCGTTCGGCTCTTATCCGTAACCCACGAGTTACGTACCCGTACAGGCAAGTAGCAGTAGTAGCCCCCCCCCTCCCCTAACCCCGCATTGCCCAACCCAAGCACACCGAAAAATTCCCCAACGCGCCAAAAAAGAAACAGGATAATTCCTTGCAACACGACATCCAGCGCTTCCGCGCTTCCCCTTCCCCCAATACCAGGCAACCCCCGGGCAAACCCCCCCGCATCCTTCGGCGCCTACAACCCATCACTACTACCAACTTACCATCTCTAACACTTCCCCCCCTCTCCCCTTTCCCACGTTACAACACGGGGACTAAAACACAAACAAAATCCTTAAGCCCACCCGCTCCACAAAAAAAAGCAAACCCGCCTTGCCTACTTTTTTACCGTACTAGTACACATACACACACCTCGGACTCGACACACGCCATTTTCTGAAACACGAACATGCTGCACGCGCTTTTCGCACGTGGGAAATGATTGCTGCAACGTGTGGGTCCCCGCCAGAGTGGTTGTAAGTTACTCTATGCCAAACATATGCAAGCACGGAGCGTTTTTTTTTTGGAGCGGGGGAGGGGGGCCAGAAACGTGCATTGTACGGAACGAAAAATGGTCGAAAGGTCGGCGACTTGGAAGGGGGGAAAGGGGGGAAGGGGTAAGGATTGGCGCAGGTATGGATCATGTAGGTGTTATGTAGGTATATGTAGGTGTCAGGGTTATTATTATTATTTTTGGGGGGGAACTTGGCTGGTTGGAGAAGGAAGAGATGTGAGGGGAGAGGTCCGTTTGTGTGGTTTGCGGTTGTGGACCCCGCAGTTTGCCCAGCTGTTGCCCAGAGTTAGAATGCCAGGGGTTTTTTTTCTTTTTGTTTGGGAAGGAGGGGGTAGGGGGGACTGCAGCAGTAAAGACGGAAGAGGTTTGGATTCCGGTATATTTTGGTTTTAGCCTTGTGTGGTTGGTAAGTGTGTGTGTGTGTGTAGTCAGTTATGTATGTTCAACGGTGAATCTGCATGCGCATGCGCTTATCGTGCAGCATCTGTCTTCACCCTCCTGTTACATAATTGCATCGGTGTAACTTGCTCGTATTTAGGCAAAGCGAATAGAAAGAGAGAAAAAGATGGAGAGAATGTAAAACAGGTATTTCCTGTTGCGCATACATGCAAGCTACATACTTACTAATTAGCCTGGACGGACACGCCCGGCGTCGCCGACGCCGTCGCCGTCAGAAAAGAAACCTATTTCGCAAGCTCGTCCGGTAATGTGGTGGTATACTTACAGACTTACTACACGATAGCTGGTGCAGTGGTGCGCGTTGACCTACCGGTGTGGAATGTCGAACCAACAAGATAAGCAATTAGTGCAGACATACACCCAATCTTAAGCCTCGCTTTGCACGAATAAATATGACGGGCCCAACCTAGTTTTAAATTTAGCAGCCGCATCGTTTTTAGTTGCAATTAGGTTCTTGCAAAAAAACAGCCAATGGACATAAAACAATCTGACAGGTCCTTTTCTTTTTACTTTAGCTAAGGCCGAAAAAGTGTAAATTACTGGGGTGAAGCGATTCCTTCTGGCTTGACAGCTGGGGAATCTCGATTGCCGCAAAAGTTTCTTCTATCAGACATGTGTGGGCTTGTTAGTACTACACCATGTAAAATGTTTCTTTCTCTTCAGAAGGACCTGCTGCTTGCTTAGGGAGAGAGTATTCTGCGTATGCCGAAAAAGCTTTCAATCACTTGATATCTAGGCATGACGTTTAGGGAAAGAGAAAGTAGAACGTGCGAACACCTAATTAGGCATGTCCTTCATTTACTTGGTTCATATACTTAGATGAATGAGGCTGATAATGCAGCTTTGAGGTCTGGGCGAACAGGGTGTTCCCGGTTCGACGCCTTGGAACTTCAGACCAAAGCCATGGCAGGCTGGCGCGTTGCAGCGCCTTCTTGTGCGGCCTTGAATAGTTTGTTCTTTTGGAAGGGATCAGGCCGCAGGCCCGGTAGGCTTTAGCTCTTCGGCCCGTTTCTACAAAACGAATCTGTCAGTAGTGCAATTCCAATTTTTTGCAGTGTCTTGGGAGTAGAGTAAAACTGGCTTTGCGTTCGTATATCGGTGATTCTAGTTATTCCCAATTACCATCAAGCTAGCAGCATTTTCGTATTTACAAACCGGCAACTACCATCGCGCATGCACGGTAGTTGCCTCACTATGTGGTCCAGATGTTAGTTGCATATGCAAGGGTCTCCTTGTGACAACCAATACTAAGGCCGAGTGGGATTGATTGCACACAACAAGGCCGAACTTTTTGAAAATTGGAGTCAGCTCAAGGACGGGCAACCGCGTGCTTCCGAAGAGTAAGTACCGTGTGAGCACAGGAACCAAAGCATATCCGGGTATGAACACTGTTCCATAGTTTGATTCTGTGCAATATCAACCCGTGTGGTTGATTGGCGCTAGTGTGCAAAGGACTGAATTCCTGCAGCTGAATCCTCGACGCAAGGTCGCGACACGACCATATACATGCGGTGCGATGCGACACTTGGGCTTGCTGTGTGGGGAAGATGAAGGAGTGTGAGCCGTGTTTGTCCGGCGATGGGACGGTTGGAGTTAGAAGGTTAGAGATTGAAATAAAGGTACACGGCAGTACCCGATGGGATAAGTAAGCGATAGTAAGCGATAAGCCGCACCCCGTGTGTTACAGCCTGCGATTAGCTTACACACAGCTCCTTCTCATGTCGGTGAAAACTGCAATCTGCAGATACCGCAGATTGGCGGACGAAGGATTTGAGATATTCTAAGAAGCGCCACGCCGGCTCCCGTTGACATGGTGGGTATGATGGCTGGCTGACCACGTGGAGTGGATGCCTTGAAACCAACTGCGGGATCTAGAATCGCAGCTGGACAAAGTCCCCTCTGCCGAACCTGTGCCAGACCTGACAAACAATTTATAACGTGTATTACTGGTAACAATCATGTGACCAGGGCCCAGCAATGGTGGTCAACGGAGGGCCAAAGTCCGATTTTACCGGATAGATGCAATATTCAATGTGAATCTACGTCTTGCTCGTTACAGAATCATTATCACAGCAACAGAGAGGATGTCGGGCCGAGGTCATGAGGCAGAAGATATCTTGGCAGACATTTGGGAGAGGCGGTGAGCCCAATGGTTTTTAGTAACAGTGGTTGGGTCTCGCTGCAGTCGTAACCTTGCATGCCTACATACATATGTACATAGGCATGCAGAATCTAGTGGCAACGAAACCCGATCAACGGCGCCCCTGCAGCTTCAAAATGAGGGGTAGGAGAGCACAAGCTCAAAGGACTTGGTTCCGACTCATGTGTACTGTGTGTATTATGATATAGTCAACTGTCATATGTAGTGTATACACTACTCCAAGTGGGCCAACGTCGGTCGACGTGACCTTGAACATGAATTTAGTCGGCCGGCTTGACATCGCGGATCGTTTCCAGAGTCGATGGCGAGTTGTGGCAAGTGGAAAGGATGAGCGTTATAGCAACACGTGTGTGGGTACCTGGCACGGCGGGCAGGTTATCCCACGAGGTCGGCCAATAAACCGTGGATTTTTGTGGCTCAACACACTCAAAGTCGCATGGTCATACTATCATGACACCCTTATAATCAGGTTTGCATCGTAGTGTTTCATGGCCATGCAATTCCACTACCAGACCGGTGCATGTAGTTCCGCATGCTCTGTTTAATCACCAAGGGCGATTTTTTTCCCTCGACGGGTGCCATGCGATGTGCTTGTGGAGAAGTGGAGGGATGTACATAATCTCCATGGGTGCAGATGCAGGCCTATGTGACGACAATCAGCAATCAGGCGGCAGTCGAACAGGAAATGATGCTTGGCGTGGTGGTCGAGCTGTTTGGACATGACGAAAGCTGTTCCTTTGCTGCGAACCTACTGAGTGTGGCGAGATGCAGGCTCGGCTCAGAAGAGTCAAGAGAGGGCGGGATGAAACCCAGATGTCGTTTTGTCGGGGAAGATGACCCGGCCCATGTGGAAGCAGCAAGACGAACCGCGCACTGATTTGCTTTTGACAAGGAACAGGAAAAGCACTAGCCGGATTAGACGGACATCGGATGATGTCGACTTTGCGCAAAATATTTGTGGGATCTCGTGCCGCAATCCTTTGGCCAGAGGGATGCGTCGCGCATTGCTTGGCGTGACCGTCGAGAGCGCTCTGCATGCGTGCAGACAGGATGCGGGAATTAGCAAGTGAAGCTGTAGGTATAGGTCCAGCACATATGAACGTGACGACGCTTTATCGTTGACGATGACGAGTGGTTTGATTGTTGCATTGCAAGTCACAGGTGGCAAGGGCGAGTGCATAATGTTTCGTGGGGGTTGCTGATGCCTGGCCACACAGTGTTGGTTTTGCAGCCACCGCACGAGCCAGCGTGGCAGGTCGGAGACAGCAGAGTTGGAGTAGGTATTTGCTTGGCCCATGACCACAATGGGCCCACTGATAGAGAAGACTCGAGTGGGCAAGTATGTACATACGTACGTACTACACCTATAGCACATGAGTGCACATCAAACCGGGCAACAGATTTGGGCGGGGGCGTGTGCGGGCCGGTTCTGCAGAGCACTCAGGCACAAGCAAGGCGGGTTCCTGTTTTGTAGAATATGTACGTATGTACTTGTGTAGAGCATGCAACAAAAAGATGGCTAGGCATGGGTGGTGGCATGGCGCAAAGTTTAGAGATGGCGGAACCAGTGTCGAGGGTCCACACAAAGCTTGGCTGCTGGCGACCCCCCATGCAGCCGTTCAGCGGAGTCGGCAAGCCACATGCCGGGGGCTTGATTGGGAAGGGAAGTGGCCATGAGCAGACGCAAAGGGGGTAGCGGGGCTGGTGACGAGAGACATGCAGGAGGATGTGAGGCCAGCTTGTAGTATAGGTGGGAACTGATCGTCTTTACCGGCCGCGAGTCGGATGCGGACAAGCGATGGTCGAGTTGCTGTATACGTGATGGTACAGTGTGCAGACAAAGGGAGGTTTGATGAGGGTGGTGCCGGTCGAGTAGAATGGGCAGGCTCGGTTGGAGATGAAAGTGGAGGAGTATCGCGGACATTGTTATTAGCCATGGCCATGGCGTGAACATGACTGCTAAGTGCGTTGATACGAGCAGGAGCGGCAGCAGCAGCAGAAGACATGGCAATGGTGTGTGGACGGTGGAGGCGGAGGTGGTGCAGCAGCATCAGTCGCACGTGAGGAGAGGTGTGTGGCTCGCCGTTGCATACACGACGACGGCATGCATGTGGGGTTAGTTAGTTGCCCTCGAGCAGCGCCCAAGAGGCTAAAGGATGGAGGAGGATGCCGTGCAGGTGGCCGCGCCGACGGGCTCGAGGCTCCAGCGCTCTCAGCAGCTTGGAGGAGCGGGCAGCGTGGTGTCACGACGGGCGGCGATAAGCTTCGCGCGCCGTCTAGAAAATTCGTGTGTAGTCTTGACGAGTCGAGTCGAGTCTTGTCGAGTCGTGGTTGTGCCTGGGTATGCCGCAATGCCCCCGTCCAAGGTGCCGGCTGGGATTGCCACGAGGCCCCGATTCCGCATCCAATAGACATGGGCTGTCTGGCCTGCTAAGCCTGCTAAACGTTCGCTTCCCACGCCTGCCTCGTCGTTCCTGACGCGCGCACCATTGCTCCTTCCTCCCCCCCAAGCCCCAGCCCGCTGCCTCCAACGCTCCTGCTGCGTGCGACCAGAGGGAAGGGGCGTCCCAAAACGGGTGTGCCCCAGGACGGCCACTCGCCCACACACCACACACACACTCACATTCACATTCACACACACATACACTCACGCACATGTACATGCACATACTCACACACTCACACACACGCCTCCATATGCCCAATTCATCCATCCATTCATCCCTTCTCCCATACACCCACCCATCCACCCACGCCAACTGACACACGATCACGGCCGTCGAGCACAGCACAGGGCACATGTTTTCCTTCTTTCCCGACTCCAAGACCATCGCAGCATCGCTTGCTCGCCTGCCCATAGCCCATGACCTGGTCTCCTCGGCATATTGTCGTCAGAGCCACTAGGTCGGTCGCCGCCAGCTGCCTCAGCCTGTTTGCACCACGTCGGCCGGCTTTCATGCCGCTTTGGTCGACAACCCCCCCACCGTCCGTCGTCTGCTGCACACACAGCGGCTTTGCAAGAGTCTGACTAAGTGGCTCAACGTCGTCGACCGCGGCAGGCGGCCGTGCTGCCACTGCTGCTGGGACTGGTGCTGGTGCTGATACCTACTTAGTGTGTACTACGGCTGGTACTTACTGCGCTACTCCATGTACACTCTGGCACCCTCATCCATCCATCATCTGCTTAGCACGTACATGCAACCCGGCCCTATCCGCCCGTATTTCACTACATGCCTCGTTCCAAAAAAGACACGGCCCTCTGTCACGGCCCTTACGGCCTTTGGTCGATGGCGGTGCTTGGTGCCGTGCTGCACATCGTGCAGATCACCCTGGGCCTTAATTGCGTGACGATATAGCCTTCCCCACGAATCGCCAGACATGCGAGGTTAGGTGCTCGTTTCATCCCAACGCCCACCAGGCCCACCTGGGACGCGCCGCCGACAGCCTAGACACGGACGCTGGTATTGGTACGCTGCGCCGTAGCAGGGGCCTTGTTCGTTGCTGCACTACTAGCGCCTGCGACCTACCCTTAACCCGCTGCAGTGCCTTTTTTACCACATATGTATTACATGCAGGGAAAACCCTCATGTTTGACGTGCCCGCCTTCCGAGTCTCACCAACCTTGTACTTCAGACAAGTGAGCCACAGCGCTCAAACGCCTGCCATGACACACATAGCAAACTGCATGCGCTCCGATCCCGACCACACCTCTGTTTATATAACACTGGAAACATCCTCGTCCCCAATGGTACGTCGTCCCGCTCCACTCGCCCCTCCACTGTCCCATCCCAAATGAATTACCACCTGCCCCGGCGCTCTCGCTCACTCAGAGATCTTCAGGCCCCCCAAGATTCTCTCTCGCCAGCCGCCACCCAGGCAAAGAGTCCACCACTGTCTTCTCAACCTCCCACCCAACAGGCCCCATCCAAGTACCAACTTTGGCTCTCAGCAAAGAGTCCAGCCCTCGGTTCAAAGACCAGCCACTCAGCAGACAGGGTCGCTGCCCTTGCTGCTGGCCGCTCCCCGACTTCGCTCAGTGACACTGCTCTCCTCTCCGAGAACAGCCTGCCTTTTTGGCAACGAACCGGCTCCCTATCACGACGACGCAAAGTCAGTGTGCCTGAACTCGGAAGCACCATGACAACCGTCCAAGAGATGCCCCTTGATTCACGTAAGTCCAAATGCTGCTTCTCTTGGCTGTCTGTCCAATTGCTGACGTTTGGTTTCAGCAACCATCCCGGGAAGACCACCTCTCCGCAAGCCTTCATATGAAGTGCTTGGCCACGAGCGCTCCTGCAGTGCTCCCGGTACTAACTGGCGCTCCGGTCCTTTCGGCGATGCCATGATGGATTGCATTACCGGCCCTTCTCCTGTCCAGACTCAGTACACTACCGCTCCGCTTACTTCAGAACTGCCCGCCATCTCCGGCAGGCCGCTTTCTCCCATCCTAAGCCCCGGTGCGACACCTAGGCCTTTGCTCAAACTTGAGACGGACAACATTGTTGAAGAAGACTGGGAAATTCCGCCCCAAGTGCCTCCAAAGTCTCCTGTTACCGAGCGCAAGGGCTCTCCCACCCCCTTGATACTCAACTCAAAAGCAAGCAAATCACAACTTACCACTCCCGCGTCGATCAGCTCAGGCGGAGGTACTCCGTTGAGTGCCATTGACCTCCGACGATCGCCAAACGGCAGCATGGGCCTTCCCACACCACCATCTACCTTCACCAATCCCTTTTATGCATCTTCACCTGCATCAGCCCGAGGTTCACCACGAACAGAGAGAAGAGATCCCATGGCTACACAAACCTTTCCTCACAACCGCAACATGTCGGAGTCATCCATCATGGACCGAGGTCGGCCAAAATGCCGTAACAGCAAAAAAGACCGCCCGCGTGCCATGTCTGAAACCAATGGCCCCGAGGCTATACCTGACTCTTGGAAGCTCCCCCAAGGCATGCGCGTATCTGAGGCTTCAAGGCGAATCAGTGATGCCGACAAGAGGCTGCTCCATAAGCAAGCCTACGATCAGGCAGGCAACTTTGAAGTCCTCAACAAACGTGATGTAGCATCGTTGTCAAGAGTGAGTTGTTTACAAACCGTGTGTAGACGAACTAGCACTAAACAGAATGACAGGAACTCCGAGCACTTGATGAACGCTGCGATTATCTCCGCAAGACTTACAAGTCGCTGCGCGCAGGTCGCCAGAAGCTTCATGGTCGCATGATTGCCTATCTGCGACGTGGAGAAACAGTTATCTTCTCGCGCGAATCCCTACTCAAGCAAGAAGAGGCGCTAGCCGAGTTGGATGTGTCCATCGACGAGTTCATCCAAAAACTGGAGCAAGCCGAAAACCGCCGCCTTCGCTTACGCCAAAAGCTGCTTGAGCACGTGGCTGCTGCTATCGTCCTTGATCCTAGCTCCCGTGATCAAGTCGCCGAAGCCACTCCTCCGCGGAGTCCTGTAAAAATGGATAGCCCTGCGCGATCCCAGCGAAAGGAGACTGAATCTATCAAGATCTACGCTGATGGACACGTTCTCAACCTATTTTCGGACATTGAGAAAGCGATCGGCAAGATGTGTGAACAAACTTGCTAGGACGCGCACACTACACACCGCCCAATGGCACCTTCGATCATGCCTCCCTCACAGGTGGCATACCCTTAATTATACCGCTTTCGTCACACGATTTCCTATGTTTGTACCATAACGGCCTTTGGAACTACCCTCCCTAATACTTTCTTCACTCCTTGTTGGACTGGTTCGACTTTTTCTTTTCTTTTTTGTTCAAACGTTTAGCGGCAAGATTTACACGCTAACGTTTCGCCTTCATTCTTCACGCTGGCATGTATACCCAATTTTTTGCACATTATCTTTTGCACATTACTTTCTATACATTCTGGTGTTCTTTTTTTTCTTTTGCACATCAATACTTTCTCTAACTTTGCCATTTCGAAAATGGCGACGAGTTTGTCAGGGGCTTGTTTCGTGTTTGGAGCTTGTGGGCGCGGAAGCGTGGAGCTTGGACGACGGCAGACGGGTGTCATTTTGGGACACCATACATGTATTGAGCCACAACCCCGCATGGGTTCATGAATCGAGAATCGTACGCATCGTGAGCCAAGCGTTATTGCCTCTCGTCAAACATGCAAACATGCACTTGTGGCGCTGTGCCTGTTCGAGGCGAGGCACGAAACACCGCCGTGCCGAAAGCCCCCCCCCCCTTCGACGTCACAGGGAAGGAGCACCATCGCGTCGGCAGGTCGATTTCTCATCACATTTCAGCAGCCACTCAGGTCCAGACTCTTTGTGACGGACAGCAACTGTAGCAATACTTATCGCATGACCGGCTTGTAGAGACAGCCAGTCATAGCAGGCAGTAAGTACATAATGCACGGGATGGTTTCACTGAAATACGTTCCCAACACGATGAGGCTCGAGGCCTTGGCTATAAGGGCTATAAGATAATCGCTATAGCCCGTTTCAACGGCGCCGTGACGTTGTAGGAAATGTCGGTAAAACGGAAATATGGTGGGGCAGGAATTTGTAAAAAAGGAGACTCTGCGAAAAGGGAACTTGCATGGACTACTAGGCTACTACATGCAAGAAAAACCGCTATTCTATGCACTTACCTACAGCATTGACATTAACTTTCATGCGTGCCTGCTTACCTTCGTATATAGTTGCCACATGGCTGCTGACATCAGATGTGGATTGTTTTCCGGAAAGACCTTATACGTCTACGTAGGCCCTGGCCTAGGTGTAGAGAGCACCACCCAGCAAACAGAGAGGCAGCCGTGTGCCGCTTCCCGAGTTTCAGAACAAGACTAAAAGCGGGCAAACTCGCCTTGGCCCAACGAAGCGGCACACCCTTCAGCCACCCGACGCGGATGGCCATGGAAATGCTGACCGAATGTTATGTAAATTGGGTCGCAATACATTTTGCCACGGTTTGAAAGTTTCGAGATGCTGCTGAGGACGACGGGGTTTGTAATCGCGGGGGTTCATCTATCGTCGGCCGCGACCACATGGCCGGCTCTCCCCTCGGCGGCACCTTTCTCCGCATGGCCCGTGCCCGCCATTTTGTGCGAAAAAGTTTGGCCTTCGATGACAACGTGACATAACTTAGACGGCAGCATTCTCTTTCGCCGTCATTACCACCACCATGGCTACTAACAGTATCAAGTTGCTGACCGGCAACAGCTATCCCGAGCTTGCCCGCCTTGTGGCTGATCGGTACGTTCAAGTTCTTGCTTCCCGCTGCTTCTTGGACTACAACTAGGCGTGGACACTTGCGGCCATCTCTATGAGACCAGTGCAGATCAGGCATGGATGCAACAACAACGACGCAATATATTTTTAAATCCGACTTGCTTCTGTGCGAGCAAGAAAACGAAAACGCTCCGACATTGATGAAACATGTTGGTGCAGCGTCACTAATGTCGTCACAGACTAGGCATAGAACTCACCAAAATTCTCGTACTCCAATACTCGAACCAGGAGACTTCCGTGACCATTGGCGAATCTGTGAGAGATGAAGATGGTATGGACTGCTTTTTCTTGTGCAGCATACCCATGTCTAGCGAGCCTCAACTTACGATGTTACAGTCTTCATCTTGCAGTCCACGCCACCAGGCGATATCAACGATGCTCTGATGGAACTGCTCATCATGATCAACGCCTGCAAGACGGCGTCTGCCCGTCGTATTACGGCAGTGATTCCAAATTTCCCCTATGCTCGTCAAGACAAGAAAGACAAGTCTCGAGCACCAATCACAGCAAAGCTCATGGCGAACATGCTTCAGACCGCCGGTTGCAATCATGTCATCACAATGGACCTCCATGCTAGCCAAATTCAGGGCTTTTTCAACGTCCCTGTTGACAACCTGTACGCTGAGCCAAGCACGCTTCGCTGGATCCGCGAGAATCTAGACGTCAAGGACTGTGTCATTGTCAGCCCAGATGCAGGTGGCGCAAAGAGGTAAGATACTCCTGATGTTAGCGTCGAAAGCCTCAAGCAGTTCATGGTGCAAACTACCTAAGCGAGCCATTTTGCAAGGATACTGTGTGATACACCAACACACCACTGCATCATGTGGGCGGGAAGAACAACCCCTCCTTCTGCCCCTTGTTAGACTCCAGTGAATAGCAGTGCTGACCAATGGTAGGGCAACTTCGATAGCAGACGGCTTAAATCTTGGATTTGCTCTCATTCACAAGGAGCGAACTCGCCCCAACGAAGTTTCACGAATGGTGCTGGTCGGAGATGTACGCGGCAAGACGGCAATTTTGGTTGATGACATGGCCGACACTTGTGGCACACTTGTCAAAGCAGCAGACGTGCTGATTTCCGAGGGTGCCAAGGATGCGCTTGCCATTGTCACACATGGTATCCTCAGTGGAAATGCCATTGAAGCTCTCAATGGCAGCAAGCTCAAGAAGATTGTTGTCACCAACACTGTCCCCCACGAAGACAAGAAAGAACTTTGCGACCGCATTGAGACCATTGATATCAGTCCAACTGTAAGTGGCCAACCATCTGCTGAACGGTTAAATTCAGAGTCTAATTATGAACTACAGCTTGCCGAGGCTTGCAGACGTACCCACAATGGAGAGAGTGTTAGCTTCCTTTTCAAGCACGCTCCTGTCGACTAGAACAGAGACGACGACTCATTCAACAGTGGTCAGTCAACACACGGATCTCGGCGTTCATGGCGGTTTTGGCGTTAGGGTCACCATCACGACTTTGCTCTTTCTTCCTAATGACATATTACGGGCACTACGATGATCTGCAGATCGCAGGCCAAGATCCCGTAACTAGTGGTTCAGTCACTGCTACATCACGTGGTGTCGCACTACCTTTGCATTAGTGAAATTAATATGCAGACTAATCGTGTATTTTGCTCGCTAAAACACGTGGCAGGTGCTCAAAACAATTCCGCCGTCAACCCGGTTTGACATGTTGGCTGAGGACGACGCCACACTGAGGCACTCGCTGCGTTCGCTGCGCTATGTGATGCGAGCTAATGGGGCTAGTGTCATTTTAGCCTGCATCAGTGCGAACTTTATATGGTCGTCAAACTTCTTGACCGAGCGCAAAACAGGGTTGCGCAACGTGCAGTACCTCCGTGATATGTCTTGCATCCGGTCAGAGTGGCGTTCGTGCAGATACGGACAACCTGAACGTGAATGTCGCCATGGCTGATAGAGATACGAGAGTTGAGCGCGTGCACCTCAGACCTCGTATTGAATGACAAGTGCAGTTTGTATCGAGAATACGATTTGATTCAGTACTAGTTGCAGAGAGAAAGGACTAAGCTACGCCACGGAGGTTGCCTTATTGGTTTAGTGCATCTTCATCTCAGCTTGCCCCAGGTCCACATACCGTACCATAGGCGGTCTAGAGACGATCCTGCTACTAATGCCGGCACATTTTTATGCCCGGCGCTCGAGATGTCCCCGACTGTCAGCAAATCTAGACAATCACGATCATGCGAGTCACATCATCATCGCCCTTTCCCCTGTTTGTGTCTTTCTCCGCGATTGTCAGACTGCTCGACAGGTTAGCACAAACCACGATCGACCGCTCCGTTCCGGCGAGGGGCTCACCCACCTGATGCATGCTTGCTCGACTACGGGACTGCTGGATGTGCAGACAAGGATTTGCGCAAGGTTACGGACTGGTGATGATCGCCGCTTTTTCTTCATAGGCATATGATTTCTAGGTGGTGGTCTGTGGTGAGTTGCTCCGCGGGCCTCAATGCTGGGTGTCGACATGCGCACGCTAGTCGGTGCTGGAGGGTACTTTACATGTAACCGAACGTTGTAATGATATTGAGGCGTGCGGCAAGGCATTCGGGAGGGGGATGTCTTTTTGCCATTCACAGAGCGTTGGAGGCGTTAGAGTTTGGATCCAGGGTTCGGCTATGGACTTTAGTCGACTCCTAGTGATTTGGGGGGAGATACCACGTCTCTTTTGCCCGGTATCACCCTATTTTGATATTTACCGATCTATCCGGTGGGATAGCAAACTACATAACTCGTATGATGGGGAAAAAGAATTCGCATGTGGTAAGGGAAGCAAAAGGTTGTGCGTGTGCGCACGCATATTCCAAACTCTGTTACTACTCTGCAGGATCGGCGCCTTTTTGACCGGTATTACAGAGTTCACACCAGCATCCAGCAACAACCCAGCAGTTTAGAAAAGAGACGTGCGGGGAAAAGGAGGCACCTGCACTGGTTAACATACGTTACCACGACCAGGACAATGGAATTAGCGAGTGCCGCGAGGTGCCAAACTTCCAAAGCAAAGCCGTGTGTAGAAAAGTGTAAATCTCTCCTTGGACGCTTACTAAATGTACAGCTAACGGTAGACGTTTATCGGATGAAGGGAACAAAGTTCAAAAGTGATCGGTCGATGAACACCTTCCGCGACTCAACTGCCGTCGCGCTAAGTTGGTGCATTTGGCCCTTCAGCTGTCCCTCGTATTTCCTCTATGTCCCCTATCAACACAGTATAGCTGTTGTAATAGTAGAGATAATCGTTGTAATAGTAGAATCGTAGTAAGCAAACCCCCCATACTATCTATCTACCTAGTATACATGTACACATTTCACGTACATACATACATACATACATACATACATACATACATACATACATACACATCTATCCAATTTACCTACCCGCAACAAACCTTACCCCCATATCCAGCGCGGCTTCCCCCAACCCCTCACCCGGCCGCATCCACTCCCACTATTCTTCTTTCATCCCGCATGCACACACCCGCACCCCGAAACCTTTCCAACCGACTGTGTACACTTCCCCCCCCCCCCCACGCCCGCATACATCGGAGATTTTCTTTTAAAAAAGCAAAAGGCTCAAACCCTCCCAACCCTCAAAGAACGCACAGGAATACCTCCGCACCGTGAGTCCATTGTTACAATCGGCGATCTGGGGGAAGGGGGGGGGGAAGAGGCCCGAACCAGCCCCGTACTGCATATACCACACATCCCGGCATTTCCCTCTGCGCCCTTAGTTTTTGTCAGCGAAAAGTCTATTTCCTAGCTTGGCCTTGTTTTCATCCTTGCGACGTTTTTGTTTTTTTTCTGTCTTCGGCGACTGCGGGATTTCGGACCTCGCGGCGGCGGCGGTGTTTGATCGGGGGAGGGGTGTGTCGCAGAGTCCGAAAAATATCGCGGAGGAAGAAAGGGGGAGGGAGGGGAATACGAAGATGTGGATGATGATGATGGTGGTGGTGGTTGTGGTGGTTGTGTTAAGGGTCAACGGGAACGGGAACGGGAATGATGAATGGACCCTTGGAGACCCTGCAGGAAGGGAAAAAAGGACCCTGAAGAGACCCTTTTCTCGTTCTTCACTTGTTATTTCGCAATCGTTTGACCCTTTTTTTGCGTGGACTTTTGGTACGCGTTTACCCTTTCGTCCACCCAATTTTTCATTGCAATCCCGATCTCGATCGAGATCGAGATTCGAAATGGGAGGCCTTGATTATCTTATTGTTTCTTTACGGTTTTAAAGTTTGGTACTTATGGGGGATTGTAATTTAGTGTGTGGGAAAATTAGAGTGTAGAGGTAGTAGGGCTTAGGAAGCACAGACTGTGTGGAACGTCTAAGAAGTGGGGGGAGGGAAAATCTGTGAGATTTACTTTCAATTTTTGCGGTGTCTTTTGAATGCTTGTTTTTTTTGTTTTCCCCTACTCTAGACTGATCGGTATTTCTGGAAATCTTGGATTGCGGTGGCTGCAGCATGGGCAAAAGGTTAATGGGGGAGGTTTCGCTTGCGGATGGTTGATGGACGCCACGATATTGAGCTTAAGCTATTTTTTCTCCTTCCTGCATTGCCGTGCCTCTCCCTAAATGTCTATCTTGTACACTCTTACTGTTCTCTAAAGTTGTGGCTTTTGGCAGAGATAGGGTGAGCGAGGTGTTGCAGGCAATGCCCTTGATAGTGGTCTTATCTTAGGTTCTGCGGAAAATAGGACGATAACAGGAGACGAGACTGGCGCACGGGTGGCTGAGGGGCATAGCCCCAAGTGGTGGGACATGGCATTGTGCGGGGGTATCCTGCCTGGTGTCGTGACCTCAGAAAGGGAGAGGCCAAAGTACAAATGTCGAATGTAGTCACATGCATTGGTACCCTATCTCGAGATACCGTATTCGGTGCCTCGCTATCGAAAGCAGTAACCACTTGAGAGCATTGACGTCGGACACCGATTGTATTCTCTACGCCTCGCATCGAGTCCTCACCACCACCTCCGTTTACGGCCGTACATTAGTATCATCCTTAGCAACGACTACAACTAAAACCCTTCCTCCTCCAGCTATATCAACGACCCACATGGAATGATTTGCGCTTGAAGCGTCCTGTGATCCTTACCGTGCCTTGCGCGGCAATGCAAAACACGCTTGCGTGCATACTAACCCCCAGAGCGCGGCCCGAAAGGCAACTTTAATCACCTCGCCTCAAGTGGGGAATAGGAGGGGGGATGGGGTGGACATGACATCCTTGCATGCAGCTACCCAACGACAATACAAGAAAAAAGCGACGCAAGATATATCCCCGACTGACCATCTAGTTGGAAAATCCTGAAAAAGTATGATCCAGATGGATTGGGGACCCTGGCCTTCCGATGCCTCTTTAGGAGAGGGATTGGCGCGTCGTTAGGGAGTATGCGGGCTAGCTCAAGTCATGATAACTTGCCTCACCCCACTTTATCTCTAGGAATCTTGATGTTATAGTAATAGCAACTTGGTTGTATGCATGCAATGTGATGAACATGCACAACGGCCCGAAAAGAGCTGCACAGGGTCTTGCAGCATGTACATACTTGACTGTTACTAGTTCTTTACATTAATCATCGTCGTCCAGGAAGGTGACGCGTTCATCTGGGTTAGGATGTAAGGCTAGGGTCTTTATCGGCGTTCACTTTCATATCTGCATGCTTACTGGGTTCACTCGCTTGCGAGACATGGGGTGTTTGTAGTAGAGGCGGACAAAAACGGAATGGAGGAGTGGCTGCGCGAGTGGGGCGGCGAGTGGAGATTGTAGTTTGCTGGTGTGACGATAGGAAGAGAAGGCAACGCGAGATGTTGGGATCATGGGATTTGCCTTGCAGCAAGTGTAAAGTGAGTGTGTCGGATGCTCTGGTGGCGAATTAGGATAGGCCAAGGCTAGTAGGGAGTACAACCCATGTACATACATTTATGGTGCGAGAGATCGTACGATGACCGAACCCCAAGACCGAATGCAGTAATTGGAGTAAAGAGGTTGCAAGGGATATATCAAAAGGAGGGGTTGGAATGAAGCTGCAATATCAAAATGGCGTGGTGATGGCGAAGACATTATTGTATCATTTGATCTCCACGACAAGGTCGTAAGGGAAAGGAAATGGAAGATCCATCGCCAGTTGTTGCCGTTCAACCGGATTGTTCCGATGAACCTGCCGATGAACCATGGGTCTTTGGTAATGGTAGTTTCTCATCGAGTCGTTTTGGAGAACGGAACGAACTTGGTGATATCAGCAACATGATGGGGAAATATCTTTACCTAGACAAGATCGTAATGCATCACAGGCTCCTGTTGCTCTTAAATTGATAAGTCTATTAGGTATCTTGAATAAATTGAGCAATCCTTATAATTAAGATGTTTTTTTTTGAACTTTATTGAACACGAACAGTTACTCTTGGGCAAGGTAGAGACACATCAGTGGCAACACTTTTTCGCTATTTTTCGTCTGAAAGTGCACCCCGTGATACAGCAAACGAAGTTCTCATCTTGAAGAAGTGGACATAGGACATGCTACAACAAAATCAGTTTCGGTGTCTGAAAATAATAGATAACATGTGTGGCTTTGACGGGAAAAGACATTGGATACAACGAGATATGAGAAGCACTCGGGAGATAGTAGATTGAGCAAGATTTCATATGAACAGTTACAATTTACTCTTTTCTTTAGGCAAGAACTGCGACCAATACTCTGATTTCGTCTCCTGATTTCCCCCATTCTTATTCTTATTCTCAAGAGCCTTCTCAAATAACAAAGCCTCCTTTCTCTTCCTCTTCTCTTCTCTCTCTTCGTGCAGCTTTCTCTTTGCTGCTTTTCTGTCCGCCTTCTTCTTCGCCTTCTTCTCCGTCCTTTCCTTTATCTTCTGGCTGGCCTTCTCTCTTGTCGCTTGCTGCGTACCACCAGCGAATAATAGTTTAAGCTGCACATGTCTGATAACGCCTGGAAGCTCTGGCTGGTAATAACGGGTTGTGAGATCCGGGTCAGAAAGTAAGCGTGTAGTTTGCACATAGAGTTTCTGGAGAGCGGATGTGAGCGGTGTGTCAGGATGGTACGGGAAAGACGCAAAGAGATCCTTTCGATCAGAATCAGCAAGCGGTCGGTAACTGAGTCTTGGTACTTTTGTTTCTTTTTCGCCATCTTCGGCTTGGTTGGTGGTTTGTTCGATCTCTGGCACTTGATTTTGCTCCCTTGCTTCTTTTTCTTCTTGTTTTTGATACTCATCTTCCTCAAATAGATGAGACGAGCTTTGTCCTCTATTTTCAAGTACAAACGCTAGACCGAGAGAGTGCCGACCGTTGCTGTTGTAAACAGTGCCAACTTCAGATGTCTCATCAACGTTGTCGGTCCAGAAGATTTCCCCCTCAAACAGTCTCTTAGCTGTCCGATACACAGTACCAGTAACTGGAATGAGCTTGTCCGTTTCGTCCATGGTGGCATTGACTTGCAATCGCCCACTGCCATGGCCAATGGTGATCGCACCCTTCATCAAAGGGTCAGGGGCTAGCATCTGCTCAACAATGGTCCCAGGTATACGAGCAGCGACTGCTGTTGTCAATGCTGCAGTCAATGGAATAGCCCGATGGGGTTGCGTGTCTGAGAGAAAACGGATGACAATGTCCATTTGCGATGACAGAAGTGTTTTTCCGGATAGTACAGGGTGAGTGGATGACTGCGACACAAGGCCGATCTTGGGAATAGTACGGGGTACCTCTTCTTGTGTTGCTGCAATTCCCATTGCCACTGCTGCGGCCTTTCGTATGTTTTCGAGTAATGCGAGCTTGTCCGGAAGCCTGTTGAAGTCGTTGGGAAGGATCGTACCATCTACGCCAACATCGTCTGCGCGGATGAAGACTGCCGGATTTGCTCCATCTACGCAGGATACTTTATAGCCTGCGATGTTGTCTATCCGTTTGCCCGTAGGAAGCACTTTACCGGTCTTACTGCCATATGGGTGTTTGAAGTCAAGTTTGATCTTTGAACCGTTTCCAGTCACCCCATCAATGCTATAATCTCCCACAACGGTAGCCTGGGCCCCGAGAACCGTAAAGGTAGAGTTTATCAACTTGCCGGTATTGGTATTCCGGATTCTGACTGTAACCTCTCCGTCACCCTGCGCATAGATTCGAGGCGGAAGGAGGCCTGCATTGTATGCATAGGGACCGATGGCGCTACTCATGTTCCCACAATTGCCTGCAACGTCGACTTCATTGTTCTCAATGCCTAGACCAACGAAAGTATAGTCAACGTCTACTTCTTGGTCATCAGCATTTTTTCGTGCTTCCTCTTGAGCCTGTATCTCCCGAGCGGTTTCTCGAGCTACATCTATGCCACCGTACCCTGTACGAAAGCGAGTTGCAGTGACACCAGGAGCAATCCTTTTTCCATAGGGCTCGACTAGACATATCTTGCTCAAACTCGATATGCCCGCACCCATACCGTCGAGTTGTCGTCCATAGGAATCACCACTTCCCATGATCTGGCGGAAGATGGTCGGCCATTTTGCGCGCTCTTTGGGGAGATGCTGAGGTTGGATCATGACTGCCCGCGATGTCCCTCCTCGGTAATAGGCAGCCTTGATAGGCTTCTGCACCGATGCAAAGGGAGTCGCATCATGTCGAGACACGAAAGTGCGTATGCGGAGGGAGTATATTGGCGAAGAACGCATTACGCATCACGCATCATGGAACTGAGCCCTGAAGAGAATCAAGTCAGAAGTCTCAAGGTAAGCAGATCAAAGGCGAATATTCGGGATCCGACCTCGGGATGGTAAGACTGGACCCTGTTCGGGTGGGTGCACTGGGCAATCCCGTCACAGCTCCGAAATTTTCTCGAAGACGATCAACATCATTGCATCCCACATCCTACATACCTACTTTTTCTTGCCGCACAATCATCTCGCTGCATCCTCGTAGATTTCAGATATCAACATACAACATGCTGCAAAGAACCATACTCCGCGCCTCGAGGCAACAGGCTGCCCGCCAAATACGGGCTTTTGCGCCACTACGTCAACAGTCCCCCATCACACGAGCAGTCGCCGCACCCGCCATCCGATGGTACTCAGATGCCCCGCCGGCAAAGGAGGGCGAAGCAGCTGAGAAGAAGGAGGATGCGCCAGCAGAAAAGAACGAGGTACCACAATTGAAGGAGCAGCTAGAGAAGAAGGACAAGGAAATTGTCGAATTGAAGGCATGCCACAACCATGACACAATAGAAAGAGGGGCAAACCACTAACAATGTCCAACAGGACAAATATCTCCGCTCAGTCGCCGACTTCCGTAACCTCCAAGAGCGCACCAAGCGTGAAATTCAAGGCGCAAAGGACTTTGCCATCCAGCGCTTCGCCCGCGATCTCGTCGAGTCGGTCGACAACCTCGACCGCGCCCTCGGCACCGTGCCCGAGGAGAAGCTCAAGTCGGATAACACTGATTTGATTGCCCTACACGATGGCATCAAGATGACCGACACCATCCTTATCAACACACTCAAGAAGCACGGATTGGAGCGATTCGACCCCTCGGAGTCAGCGGAGAAGTTCGACCCCAACGTCCATGAGGCGGTGTTCCAGGCACCACAGCCAGACAAGGAGGACGGCACTTGCTTTCACACACAGCAAAAGGGCTTCAAGCTCAACGGCAGAGTACTACGACCGGCAAAGGTTGGCGTTGTAAAGAACGCCTAAGTTACAAACTCCTACACGATCTATAACGACTCAGACTCTTTTTTTTTCTTGCATCTGTATGACTACCTACCTTGGCTTCACTGCTCCAAAAAAAAAGAAGGCAGCGGTACATTTTGGGGAAAAAAAGGCGTTTTTCTTCCTGTGTATGTGCCACACTCATCGGCTTACACTTGAAAATTCTCTTCTTTTTTATGGAGACAACGTGTACATATATTCCCCTCTCTCTCTCACACACACGCATCTGCAAACAATTGTTTCGCACCAAAATTAACCAAATGACGTAACTTTGCGAAGTTGTGTAACTGTAATATTAGCTTATTGATGGACAATGATGATGAAAGACGAAGAAAGTCTTGAAGGAAAGAGAGAAAAGGTCAATTGACATTTGCTTTCGACCCTCTCCATAATCTGCCACATTCTGAATAAGGATTCTTTCTCTCTGTTTGTGACGACGCCCAACCTGTTTTCGAACGCCAGCCCATGCATTTGTTTTTTTTGACCCAATCAGAGCACATCGGGTATTTCAATTTTTCTGGAATCTCCCCCAATTTCATGATACATCTACCAGCCCTGGCCGTAAGGCGTAGCACCATATGGTGTAGTGCCTCCTTGGGCCGCGCCACCCCAGGAACTGGCACCGCCATAGCCTCCGGGGCCTCCGACCGGCGTGTAACCACCTGCGTCGCCGTAGCCTCCTCCATTCAACATGGGGCTCTGGGCACCACCGAAATCCTCGTGGTCTCCAATGCCACCAGATAGTTCTTTGAGGACTTCGGCGAGTTTGATTTGTAACCGTTGAATTCCCTTTGCGACAATCTGATCGGGCTCGATGCCGCCGACTGTTTCGACGTCGTAGAAGAAGCGCGTGGGCACGGCATTGTAGTTGAAAGGTTCGTCGGGGTTGGGTGGACCGCCGTCGAGATTGACACGGGCTTCGTCTTTGGGCCTGTGTGTATATCGTTAGTTTGACGCGGTCTCGTCACTCCACTCAACAAGACTATACACACCACTCCTTCTCTGCGTCTTCCTCGTGCCAGTAGTCCAGGTGGTGCAGCTTGTTTGCGGGATCGTATTCGAATCCAATCGCTGCACTGGGTGCCCACTTTGCGTGTTCCTTTGCAATGCCCTTCTTTGCAATGCACTTCATGTTGATGGCCTGACCTCTGCGCAGCTTCACGATACAACTGCCCGTCCCCTCTGAATCCGTAATCACTGGTCGTCCTAGCTCATCATTCGGCGGCCTCGACTCGATGACCAGATCGCGCGCATACACCTTCATGACCTCACTGCCTGTGCATTTGGCATTGAGAGTAAGAACGACACTACAGTTGTCGCAGTAGCCTTCGCAGTCACAGTCGCGCGAATACAACAGGTCATCTACGCCCTTGGACGACAAGGGAATGAGACCGAGGCGGTGGCAGACAAACTCATCGGCAAGGACCGATGTGTTGTCAAACACTTCGACGACATCGATGGCGAGCGTCGGGATCTCGGCGAGCATTACACGGCGAAGTGCATTTGCGGTCTCGAGATTGAAGTTTTGGACAATGAAGTGGGCGCGCTGGTTGTCGGCCTGCGCATGGCCGTGTTAGCTCGACGTATCCGCCAAGGTAGACAGAGCGGGCGGTGTACCTGAAGGAAGCGGACGTTGATTTGGCCGCCATCTGGATCGTAGTCCATCGCGTCGTCGTGTGGGTGAGAATGGGGCTGAGGGGTCGTAGGAGTCGCAAGCGAGCCGAGGTATTGAGGCGACTGGAACGGATGAGCGACAGGTACGTGTTGGCGTGTATGGAGTGGTGCTGGCTAGGGTCGTCGTGCTATACGGAGATTCTTTGAGGTGAGCCTGGCGCGGAGAGGCGGCCTAAGCCGATTGCGGCTGAATACCCCACGCGCCACATCTGCGCCACAGATTGGTAATGGGAGGCTTCGGTTTACGCCGATGGAGTTCGCATAGCCTAGAGTGTTCTTTGGTACTTTGTAGAGTAGTGCCATGCACGATGTTAACCACCCAAGTGTCGTATAGTAGGATGAAGAAGAAGCTTGGAAATGAAATGTAGTATTGTAATAGGTGCGCCAGTGATTCTACAGGGCTAGAAGCTAATGTTATCTTCGGCTTGCCAATGCAACAGGAGTCGATAGCATCACGAAGAAACGTGCCAGCTCAGCAAAGACGCTCAGCCTGCGGACTTCGAGACATTAGCGTGACAAGGTGCAACTTGCATCCGGCCTTGTGCGCGAGGTGCTTGCGACACCTTTTATCGAAACATACGCCGCAGGCCCAGCATGGTGAGAGTTGTCGCGTGTAAGACACTACTAGAATGCTACTATCGGCTGACAAAATCGGCGTGCACAGGACTGCCCAGGGTCATGTTGCTAGTTGAGCCAACCAGTACAATGGATTACCCTGTCAGGTTGTACGGCGCAGCGCGAGCAGTGACGTTGTTGAGTCTGCTGCCAATCAAAGACTTTATCACTTGCCGAGTTGGAAAGACATCGGCCGTTGCAGCGTGTATGCCGTGCAGTCAGTCTGAACATAGCCAAGGCGGACACTAACAGCAGGCGTGTTGCTTCAGTGCTGTGCAGATATCAATATGTGGACCAAAGGCGATGCTGCTAGAGTTTGCCTTCGTCCGGTTGGGGGCGGAGTTGAAGGCGAGTGTGCAACAACGAGGCTGAGGCCCTCTCCTTTTCTTTGCGCACCGTGATGTTGTCCGCTGAGTCTCCATGAAAGACGCGTCTCCGAGGCCCGTGACCCCTCACTACGCAACGTGTTGAGAAGGAGAGTATGGGGGGCAGTGCAGTGGTGCCCAGTCCTGGCAATGGTAGCGGGTATGGTGACGGCCGAATTCTAGGCTTGGCGATATTGAGGCGGAGCAACGCTTGCTGCTGGCATGCCGAAGCTGGAACCACTCGCCGTCAGAGGGCAATGTTTGATATAAGACGCACTCTGTCACAACATTGCTCTCCAACTCACCATAGCTACTCAACCCACCAGACATTCACAACATATCTCCTACTTTAACATCCATGATATCAAGCATGCAGGCTACCATACCATCGCCACAGCGCTCTCGCGCATCATCACGAAGCAAGTCACCGCTCTCTATCGACCTGTCAGACTTGCCACCACTAGTCGAACCATCACCACCCTCAAACACTCTCATCATCACCGTAAGCAATGTATCGAACGAGTTGCAGCTACAGTACTAACAAGGCCTAGAATCTTTTGGCACCCGAAATCTTCCAACTATCTACTCTTACCGAGATCCGCGAAACAATCAACCAACATGCGAAGGTGCACACATGGGCGCCACTCAAATCTTTCCGTCGCATAGTGGTTTCCTTCTTCGATACCGACTCTGCGATACAAGTTCGCCAGGCTCTTGACGGTGAGCAGCTCATGGGCTTCCGTATCCGCGTATACTTTGGCGTGAACACACCCATGAACCCCTCAGACCAGCACCTGGCACTGCCCAAGTCGGATCGACTCTTCTTCATCTCACCACCACCATCGCCGCCTATGGGCTGGGAAACAAAGGAAGAGGATGCACCCAACACCATCGTCCACCCCGAGGATCTGGCAGCAGCACTAGCCAAGCTTCATGCAAACCCCGAGGCCTCGTCACCTACTGATAACGGAAGCAACATCATCACCAGGAGGCGGACAGGCAGTACAACTGTAGTCTACCACCCGGAGGACCACGGCGACTCGCCTAACCTTCCTGCCATATCCGTCGAAGACACAACCGAGACGCCTGAGGCTTTGACGCCCCTCGATGCAATGGAGGGAGTCGAAGGACCTATTGCTTCGCAAAAAGCTCAAGGCATGACTACCAGCACCGCTAGGCCACCAGTCGAGCTCATGCACTGAGCCCTTGTGTCACTGTTTTTCGGTCTTTTCCTTTCCCTTCTTTTTTATGTGTTATCAAAAAAGCATTACATGTGCATGATTTCAAGGCATGGCACGGCTTCGGCGTTTATGATTTACTGGGTTGGGAAATGCTCGGTTCCGAGCTGGTTCCGTGCATCGGATCTGGGGTTAGCATGAATTGCGGGCGCATGTCGGATAGCATAGTACTTGGCTTCTGCAGGAGTTGCAGCGCGTATGGAATGAAACGAATGCCTCTAATCTGAGACTGCATTGTCATATGTATACAGTGAGGAAATAGAGATGGCCATTAACTTCTGGCTGAACTTAACTCAAGATATCAGCTTGTCGGTGTGGCTTGCAAGTTCTATTTGATGGAAAGAATGATGCAATCATCTGTTTTCGGTCGCTTGCGACGTTGAAGTTGCGTCTGGCCCTGCCCTGTACACTGAAGCAAAGCTCTCGCGTCAGGGCGTGACTAGGTAACCAAGAATTTTGTTCAAGGCTACTTGTATCTTGAATCATAAGAATATGCGGAAAACATTGACTTATCACCTCAACTTACAAAAAAAAAGCACCTAACTTTTGTTACCCATGTTCGCGCAGCCAGGCACGTGTGCACGTGATGCGCCAAGGACACTAGCGCGCACCACTCTGTAAGCGAGGCCTGTCGAAAAGCAGATTCCGAAATCTCCAATTCAGACTCTCACGACCATCTACTAACGTTGCAGCTTCCGCACGCCGTCGAGACGCCGCAGTCAAGATGAAGCTCAACATCTCCTACCCCAACAATGGCACCCAGAAGCTGATTGAGATTGACGATGAGCGCAAGCTCCGCGTCTTCATGGAGCGCCGCATGGGTCACGAAGTCCCTGGCGACAGCGTCGGCGACGAGTTCAAAGGCTACATCTTCAGGATCACCGGTGGAAACGACAAGCAAGGTTTCCCGATGAAGCAGGGTGTCATGCACCCTACCCGTGTCCGACTCCTGCTCTCTGACGGCCACTCCTGCTACCGCCCCCGCCGCACTGGTGAGCGCAAGAGGAAGTCCGTTCGTGGCTGCATCGTCGGCATGGACCTTTCCGTCCTGGCTCTCAGCATCGTCAAGAAGGGTGACGAGGACATTCCCGGCCTGACCGACATTGTCCACCCCAAGCGCCTCGGTCCCAAGCGCGCGACCAAGATCCGCCGCTTCTTCGGTCTCAGCAAGGAAGATGATGTGAGTTTTCTCATAGCTTCTTCGCCAATCCTGCTTCGCCCAGCGGATTGAGTCTCGCTCTTTCCTGCAACAAGCAGCGCATTGAGTCTGAGCAAGAAGTGAGCCTAGTAGTTATAAAGGTTTGAGCACTAACAATTACATTTGTAGGTCCGCAAGTTCGTCATCCGTCGTGAGGTTCAGCCCAAGAAGGAGGGCGCCAAGCCCTACACCAAGGCCCCCAAGATCCAGCGTCTGGTTACTCCTCAGCGTCTCCAGCACAAGCGTCACAGGCTCGCACTTAAGCGCCGCCGGGCGGAGGCTTCCAAGGATGCTGCCGTACGTACACTCTATATCTGTTCAAAGAACCAAACACTAACAACATGGCAGAACGAGTACGCTCAGATCCTGTCCAAGCGTATCAACGACGCTAAGGCTGCTCATGACGAGGCCCGCAAGAGGAGGGCGTCTTCCATGAAGCACTAGAGGATCATCATGAATTCATGATTGGGTCGTGAAATGGTTACATTGGCGTCGGCACGAAAATAAGGGAGTGGGCTCCTGTATCTGAATGAAAACTTCGGGCATTCAAAGGGATAGGCGCTTCTCATACCACTGACTGTTTCAAGCAGTTGTCTGAATAAACAATTGCATCACTTCACGACCGCCACCTATGCTTCCTGTATCTCGCCTTGTTGTTTTTCTCGTCTTGTACGTTGCGAAAGCTGAGCATCGGCACTTTTGCAATACTGTTGCCATGATTCCTGGGGACTTGCAGAGTGTTACGACCTCGTTGGAACTGTTAATGAACAAATAAGCATAATTGCTATTGCTTCTAGGCACTCTCATTCACGAGGCTGTTGAGCTTATCTAATCACTGTGCCCTGACTCTCAGTACCCCTTGCATAGGGACCCTCTAGGATGTCGCTCCCACTCAGCAAACCTATTGCCCCGTTGCCCAGCAGGCCGCTTGACGGCACGCTACCTCGACGGTCCGACCATATCTCATGAAAACGAATTGCCATATCGCTAGCTGCAACCACTATGCATCCCTCTTCCACACCCCTTCTTGACCAAACACCATCTTCGCCTCTCGCTCTTCCGTCGTTACTGTCATCCTCCAGCTGTGCCCCACTTGTAGGTCCACCAGGGTACGCAATGGCGCACAGAGCACGATTCTCATCATACCACGGCACAGCAACAAGCTGCTCGCAGCTAGGCCATGCAAATACCGCGACACGATACGGATGTTCTGGTTGGGCAAAGCCAAACGTCGCGGCTATCTCGCGCCGCGTCTGCGACCAGATAAGACTGGTGACCTGGGCTGCACAGTCGATGGTTGCAAGACAGGTGCCTGAGCGCGTGTGGTAAAAGTGAATACAGCGGTCATTTGAGCCGCCGCCAATGGCGATGAGTCCCCGTTGCCAAGGGCAAAAGGCCATTGCTTTGACGGCAGCGTTGAGGGTCCATGTGTGCTTTGCTGCAGAAGGAGTGAGATGCAATACAGAGCTATCACGATTCGACACTGTGTAGATGGATTCTCCCGTCGATCCCTGACGGACGTCGAGCAAAGTTGACGTGTCTTGGCCTGGTGGGTTCGGGCGGAGCACTTTCTTTGTTTCGAAGAGATTACAGTTGTTATCGTTTCCACCGCTTGCGAATAGCTCGCCGTCTGGGGACCATGTAAGGCCGCAGATCTGTTGGCTGTGAATTGTTAGACGGGCGAGAAGGGTCATGGCGCCGTGCCAGCCAAAGAGCGCGCTTTGAGTCTCCGATGGCCATTCTACGCTGTAAAAGTAAATATGGCCCACTTCATCCCCGATGATCAACTCTTCGGTTGGGACGGTCATTGCTCTATCGCGAAGAGAAGGACGACGTACAATAGTAGGTCTCCAAGATACACATGATACTGGCTTGGGCTGTGTAACATCAAAGCGAGGTTCCGAATCAAAAGGGCTCCAAAGTGAGATGCGTCCATCTGCTCGTCCTGCAGCGAGGATTGCTTGGCCACCGCACTCTGATGAAAAACTAAGGGATGTAACGTGTCGATCCACCGGAATGCTGTTTGGCGGTCTCGCATTGAGCGATTCTGGCGTGTTCACACCACTCCGCTCTGACCAAATGTGTACAAAGTTTCCAAGGCCGACAGCAAGACATTTGGAGGTATCTGAATATGCGACAAGGGTGCAATAGTAGTCATCGCGAAGGTCAGGTGCGTCGAGAACTGTGGGTTCAGTAAGCTTCAGTAAACCCTGGGATTTATAGAACCTATCTGAACGGCAGTATTGGGACAGTTCTTCGCTTCTGCGATACTTGACGTTGTGCTTCATTGAATCATTAGCCCAAAGTCGAGCGGAAGACACTGTGAGAATTGAAAAGACAAACGTGAGCTAAAATTCTCTTTGATCCATGCGCCGTCTCGCCACACGTGTCTGCCATGTGATTGTGCGCTAGACTCTGGAGAATTTCGAGAAGTCCACAGAGGTGAATGTTGAAGTATTCGATCTGTCCGATCAATGTCCAGTGCCAGTGCTAGTCGCTGTGTGTAGGCTTCTAGCTCAGCTTCAGGATCCGCTCGGCTGAGGAATGCAGATTTGTAGAGCGGCGCATTCGTTCCACTACCGAGCATCCTACCTCTTCCGGTGGATACAGCTACCACCGTGTCACTCACAGCAGAAGGTCCACCGACGTTCCAGACTGCACCAGTACTGATCTGGCGAGCAGCTAGGGGAACTGAGCCTCGTCTGAAGTGGATATTTCTCCTGTTTGCATTGATCCTTCCCAATATCACTGAATGTGTCTCCCGGAGCCCACGCAGTTCTTCATTCAGCCGACCACTCCTGCGCAAACGATGACTGAAGGCGCCTGCGTTTGTGTGAATACCTCTGTTAGTACCCTGTTCCGTTTTTCGACGTTCTGCAGGACTGTTGAGCTCGAAGCTTTCTCGCGCAACAGCTGGTGGTCGGCAGTAGGCTATGAAGCGATCAGGCGTGCCTGTTTGACTATACCGAGTCGACTCTAGCAACCCTTCTCGAGCTGCGGATCGACTAGGTCTTATGGGAGAACTCGAATAACATGAAGGAAATGGGCGTAGTTTATTTTCTGGATTGTTCTTCTTCGCTGGGGTATCAATATGGCTTGTGATGGGCTGAACTTGGCCTTCCTGGGTGACGAGTGATGTCCTAGATCCTGAAGATGGGAACTGGTCGTATGTAAGCTTTTCGACTAAGTCTCCTGAGGAGACAGGGTTGCTATGCTTTCGCCTTTTCGACAGTGATGACCCGCGATCTGGGACGGAGTTATGCGTTCTGCTTGGAGGAAGTGGTACTTCATCATCTATAGGACAGTTACGTATCATGGGTGATGAACGAGCGTGGGCGATATCGAGATCAGGAGATAGATACGAAGAGGATGGATTAGGAGCGGGAAGTCGCTGTGGTTTGACAGGCGAATCCCCGTGTGGCTGCACCGGTGAAGAATCGCACTTGGTTGCGTGGAATACCGGAATTGAGAGCGCTTCAAGACGAGAACTGAATCTAGACTTCGTAGGAGAAGATGCTGAGATCAGATGAATGTCACGGATGGTATCGTCGACGTCCCGAAAGAAAAGACAGCTGCGACTTTTGCGAGGGGATCTGGGTGTCCTTGGTGACGACCACTCTTCTGTGCTGACAGTCTTTGTAGGGGACGGTGGCGGCACGAGGTATTCAGAGGTCAGTGGAAATGCATCATCATCAGTGTCGTTCATGTTGAGCGGCTGGAGCCAAGATGAGTAAACTGAAGAGCTTGTGTCGCCAACCTCAGTTCATGTGAAGCTGTATAAAGGAAAGTAGCCAGTAGATTGGCTACACCGATACTTTTACTGTTGGGTTAGTAATAATAATGGTGAATGAAATGTCAAGGATGTCGTGTGTTAAGTGTAGTGTAGATCTGATGGGGCGTTGAGTAGCAGCCTCCGTGGGCGGTGACGTGGGGGTAAGAGGTCCACGCGCGTGGTGGGGCAAATCCCACCGCGGCTCCAATCTGCAGCAGCTGCGAACTTGCATGCTGCTCAAACAACAACTATGGCAAGTGTAAGCAGATGGCCTGCTTGCATGCATGTAGAACATGACTAATAATTCTAGCACGGTATAGCACGCGGGACAGGTCCTGTTGTGCGTTCTGAGGAGGCTCGACAGAAGGAGCTTGAGCAGATTGCGCAGTACAAAGAGCTGGCAGATTCGGTGAATACAAAGGTACATGATTAGTCTTGAATAATTCCAGAGCAGGGCTAACTTTGGATACTACAGATTGCCGAGAAGCAATATACAATCGAAGCCCTCGGCCTAGTCACAAAGCTGCTAAACGAGAACCCCGAATACTACACAATATGGAACCACCGCAGACGCGTCTTGATGACTCTGGTGAGAGCAGAGACACCCGGACAGCCCCCACACGGCTTGCTGCAGGATGACTTGCAACTCACGTTTGCACTGCTCCGAAAGTTCCCCAAGTGCTACTGGATATGGAACCATCGCAACTGGCTCCTGCGCCAGGGAGAGGCTTTGATGGGAGTAGAAGCAGCGCACAAGCTCTGGTTAGGAGAGCTGCAACTCATAAACAAGATGCTGCATGCGGACAGTCGGAATTTTCATGCTTGGGGCTACAGACGTATTGTGGTATCAGAAATTGAACGCTTGACCGCAGATTCTGAGCCTACAACTGGGAACCCTCCAAAGAGTCTCGCCGAATCCGAGTTTGAATATACCACCAAGATGATCAAGACCAACCTATCCAACTTTTCCGCTTGGCACAACCGCAGCCAGCTTATACCCAAAATCCTCCTTCAACGTAACGCAGATTCCAAAGCACGTCGTGCCTTCCTCGATTCAGAGCTGTCTTTGATATGTGAAGCCATCAACACCGACCCGTTCGACCAATCCATATGGTTTTACCACCAGTACCTCCTCTCAGTTTTGTCTCCTTCGTGTCCAACAAACCACCTGGTTGTCCAAGATTTGACTAATGGCGAGCGGCAAAAGTACTACGAGAATGAGATGGAATATATACGGGAGATCTTGGAGGACGAGGCGGATTGCAAATGGATATACGAGGCGCTCCTTGGGCTTGCAGAGGCATACCTAGAAGTCGATGTTGGCACAGGGACGTTTACGACAAAGGACATGAAGTCATGGCTAGGCGAGCTGAAGCGACTGGATCCGTTGCGGCGAGGAAGGTGGGATGACTTGGAGAGAAGATTGAATCTCTGAAATGCCAATCAATGAACAATGACAGCCATCAAGACTTTCCGTTCGCTTCTTCAATGTTTGCCTTTACAGGCACTACCTCTTTCTTCGCTTCTTTTTTCCAAGCCCACAAACCCAGCATGTTCGACCAGGAATTGTCAGGCGGTTGGGAGGCAATCGTTTCTTCTTTAGCCCGGAGCTGAGGCTGTGCGGGACTAGGGTTGACTCCATTCGAAGCAGCGGTAGTAGCCAACTCTCTAACAAGAGTATAAGTAGGGGTGTAAGAGGGCGCTGAGTGATTGTGCGTACCGTTGGTACTCTTCATTCATCCGTGCAAGCCGTTGTTTCTTGAACTCGCCATCAAAAGTTGCTACTCCAATTGATACGCCCATGATCGCTGCCAATGCGACAGGGAGGATACGCCCTGCCATTCTTGTTCACTTGTTGTGTACGCGGCCTGTTGAGGTCTTCGCTTCGAGGTGGAGGTGAATGACGAAAGCACTCCCGCGGGGAAAAGTTCGGCATGCCTCCGCCGCCAGGACGCGCTAGCAGGCGAAGCACGGGACGACGCGTTCATGCCCTCCATTTACAGGCAGAAGCCCATTCCACCAGCGTCGAACCGCATTACGACATGCAGGCGCGCCCAAATGTCCAAATGGCGACAGAAAGGATTTGTCCAGGATTCGGATGAGGACGAAGAAGAATCTCAGCTCGAGAGCCAGGGTTCTAGGCTAAATGGTGGCTTGAGTAGACGCGTCGAGCGCGTCGAAGATGACATCAACGAGGTCAAGCAAGCTGAGGAGACAAGGCACCCCGTGAAAAAGGACGGAGAAGGCTCTGAAGGTTACTTTGCTGCTGATGGCAACACTGAAAGAATATGTCTACAAGAAAAGAGGATAACATCGCCCACGAAACACAATTCACCCAAGCGTCCCACGCCCTCGCCATTTACGCCGTCGTCAACGTACAACCCAAGACCTCAACCGTCAGAGAGTCCAGATCCGCTCCAAGGCTCTCCAACGCCAAAAGCTCTACGGACTACCCGAGCTCAGCCATCTCAACACCGCCCTGAATCGCCAACCCGCCCGCACAGCTCGATAGCGTCCATTCCTCCGCTTTTCGATGAACATGAGCCACCATTCCAAACTGCTCAAAGCTCAAACAAACTGCAACAAGCAGCTCCTGCAGAACACCCGAAGGGACGTACTGGGGCTTCGAATATATTGAATGAGTTTGGTATTGCGCCTTTGTCAGATAACTCTGAAGATGATGAGCTTTCCGATCCACCCACAGACTTGGAGTCACCTCCACCGGCGTTCATCAGGCCTCATAGACGGACAGCAGTGCAAGTTGTCATTCCATCTTCAACGGCTTTACAGCGGCATCTCGTGGAAGAAAGGGCAAGGCGTGACTTTCGTCAGCGGAAACCCATTCAGCTGCATCCTTATGCACTGGAGGGTGAGATGTACCGGAGGGAGGTCCAGAGCAGAGGTCTCCAGCCAGTACGAAGAGAACGATCGCGCTCGCCTCAAGGTCACCGAAAGCAGCAAAATGATGAATCGCAAGAACAAGACTTCAATCCTGACGAGAACCCTACGAGTAGCCCCCCAGAGGTGGAGATACCAGTCTCTAGTCCCAATGCCCCGCAGCTAGAGAAAGATGGAAATGCCAGAGGTTCAGGACATCAGCATGCTTTCAAGCCCATCAGACGCCCTCCTTCCACACAACTTCGCCATCCTCATGCAGCGAAACGGAGGAAGCCCAATATTCCATCTACACAGGATGTTGTGCCACCGACAAGCATATTCGAAAATTCTGGGCTGCAACGCGACATTTGGTCGATACCCCCTAATTCTCCTCCTTACTCGAGTAGTCCACCGCATGCGAACGCTTCAGCCCGCCGTCCAGGTGTGCTGCATGCGACGACGCCAGCCCCCAACTTGCCAACTCCCTCTACCTCATCAATCATGCAAGATGACCCACGTCCATTGTTGGAATCTGACTCTGATACTGTACCGCGCAGTACTCAAAGACCTAGTAGTGGGCTTCGTCGACCAATAAGAGTAGTACTGACAGACAGTTCGTCTTCCGCGGCAAGTTCTGCCAGCGAGGCAGAGCAGAGCGACAGCGAGTTACGAAATGTGAGCAGAAAGATTAAGGGGGTTTTACCAGCTTCCTGGCTACGATTCGACCGGCAGACTCAAGAACGACGGAAGGCTCAGCAACGTGAGCGAGACAGGATGCGTGCGAATATTGCTTTGTCCCCTGAGCGCAGCACACCAGTGCGCGGAGTTGCCCAAAAAATCACAAAACCACTGGGTCGGCCCCCGTTGCCATCAGTTCCCAATGCTTCTTCCAAAGATCCAGTCGTTATATCAGATGAGTCGGAGGATGAACTAAGGGCTCCTTTCTCGCGCCCCATCAACGATGCCCAGAACCCTGTAACTAATGCCTCGGCATTAGCTAAGATATTTGACAGCCGCTACGCTGATGATGACAATCTGTCAGATATGGAGCATGACCGTTTGCATCTACCTACACTCGGAGGGACTGGCCCCAAGCGAAAGAGACAGAGTAAGCTGACCGACGCCTTTGGCAAAGCAAAGAAGATGAAATCTTCAGCCTATGCCGGACGACCCTCTGGCGGTCAGTCTGAGAAAAGAAAACACGGCCATCCTAGGAACTCGCGTCGGCCTGCTCCGCCAGCTATGAGCGTTGTGGACGTTGTTCTGTCGCCATCGAAACGAGCCGCCAATGTACCACAGTTTCTCCGAGTGGCCAGGCGGCAAGCCCTTCAAAGACCGGACCTTGCCCGCCAAAGTCCACGTAACAAACAAATACGACTGCATAATGCTCAGGATACCGAGGAAGCCAACACCGTTCTTGAACAATGGCAAAAGGGCGCTTTAAAGCCGAAATCAGATATCACTATGCAAGAACGAAGACCTCGCTCTCCCTTGACTAATAGGGCCGACAACCAGCAGTATACAGAGCGAGAATTGGAAATTGATGCAAATTCTGCAAAGGATCTTGATACGCGACCAGAAGCTACAATAGAAGTTCCCCGATTGTGGCAACGTACAAACATGCCTACTGGTCTTCGGGTCTTTCGACGCTCGTCTCCTAGTGAGGTGAAGTCCACTCGTCGAAGTAAAAAAATATTGCAGACCAACAAGCATCACAAAGGTCCAGGGCCCAATGGTACCTTGCCATTCAGAGTTGCACAGCTGGAAGGTGATGAGAATGACTTTGGCCGTGACCACAGGAAAATCGCGTTCGAGAAAGGTTTACTGCATGTCGACCAGCAGTTCAGAAAGCAACTGCCTAATGAGCATCATATTGTCAATCCCCAGTTAGCGCGTTACCTTGCAGACGATGGTGTTGAACCACCATTGCTCCCTTCTACGAACGATTCAGGAGAGCGTACAATAGAGGCTTCAAGCAAACCAGAACCTATTACCAAGAAACGTCTCAAACTTAGGGGTCAAGCGCGAAGGATTGATGTGGATGCACGGGAATTCCGTCAGCCAAGCGAGCCAGCAGTTCAGGAAGTGCTCGGAACAATCGATGTTGCCCCAGTACAGGAACCTAATCCAGAGCAAGACCTCCCTGTTCTTCATGGATTGGGACCTTTTGGTGCCCGGTATCCCATCACATTTGACGTGTACTCACTGGCATCTGGGACATACTTCCATGCATCTACTTTGATTGGATCTAATGAGTTTCATCGAGCTCTAAGCATTGGGAAGCCAGAGAGTCGCAATCTTGATGAGACTGCGGGGTATTCTACCGTTACCGACGGAACAAGGTCTGTCAGATGTGGTTCATGGAATGACGAGACGTCTTCGAATCTACATGACCTAGTGAGGAACGTGTCGGTATCCTTGGTAGACCAATCATCTAACCCCAATACATCCACAAACATTCATGTTGAGGAAATGCCGGCAGCTAAAGTAACACGGTCACTCATTACTTACATATCCAATCATCTCAGCTTCCTGGATCCAATCGACCGAAAAGACTTCGTGGCTAAAGCAGTCCGGTTCTGCCAAACGCTCTTCGATGGTGTATTGGCTCCTTTTGATACCGTCGGCGGTCCTGGAACAGAATCTGGCTGGAATATTATGCGCATTGGCACTTATCTACTTGTCATAAGTCTCCAACTCCACCGTATTGCTCAACACTCAGCTGTTGACGAAGGAAGCCGAGTCGAAATCCTAACGCTATTAAAGAATGCCTCAAAGGCTGTGGTCACTCATTTGGTACGACAAGGTATCCCTGAGCTGGGCAATTTTCTCGAACTCAACAAGCGACACTCTGTGCGTGAGAAAGGTGTGCAAGACGGTGAAGTCGTTGTGGAGAGCACAGTCGTATGCATACACGTCCTTGAAGAGCTACATATGACAGCTTGGGGATTTTGGGACCTTGCCAGTCAAGAGCTCAGCCCCAGAGTATCTGGTGCCACTCATCTCTCTGCTTTCGAAACAACATGGGCTACACTGTTCACTCTCCTCCCGTTTAACGAAATCGATGTTTTTGGTATCCCACTCAGGAATCGAAGAGAAACCTTCCAGAACGATAATTGGTCATGCATTCGGGATATCCTTCGACGAATATTTGAGCTGTACCCGAGCACGTACAGGAAGCATAGTGCATCACTGAATGATTATGTCCGAGCCAACCTTACCCGATGCCACCGACTAATGACACACTGGCACTGGAGACGTCCCGAGTTGATGCTCAACGCCGTTGTGGACTTTTTTGGTAAGAACGGTCTTCGAGGTCTTCGACGCGAGGCAAGCGTTGGCTCCTTTCCTTTTCCGGATAATTTTGCTGCTGACCCTTCATTGACTGTTGAGCCGAATGAATACTCCTTCCATATCTCACTGAAGTGCCTTGCTTTGGGTCTGCGCGGTATGAAAGACGTTTACCCTGAGAAAAAGATTCGCAGCTTTGTCTTTCGGTGTTTACCCAACCACGGCCGAGCATATCCAAAAGATCAGCCTCTCGATGAGGAGAGCCTT